AGAAATTCTGGCTGCTCCTGGATCCCTTGGAGTGTCCAAGGCTTGGATGGGGCTTGGAGCAGCCTGGGACAATGGGAAGTGTCAGGGTTGGAATGAGACGGGATTTAAAGTCTCTTCCCACCCAAACCAGTCTGGGATCCCAGAATTCCATCCCATTCCCATCAGGATCTACATTCCCACCAGGAATTTGGGAGGAATTCAACTTCCATCCATTGATTTTTCCCTCTCTCCCTTTGGTGACACCGAACAATCCCAAAAATACGGGAGCCATTTCCATCAGGCAACTTCCCAAAAAAACCAGGGAGCAGCTGGAATTATTTTTCCCAAGCACATCCGCGCTCCTGGAATTTTCCCTCCCTCCTCGGGGCTGGATTCCTGGTTTTTTGTTGGTTCCGCTCCCTCTATCCCATCCCCGGAGAAGCCGCTTGATGAAATCCCGCTCCCCTCCCTGCTAATTCCAGGAATTCCGCTCATCCGCTCCCGTCCTCGGTGCTGGATGAGGTTTCCCGGGAAAAGCGGGGGGCGGTTGATTTTTTCATGGAAGCTCCGGGCTTGGATATCGGGATCAGGAGCGTTTCCAAGCGCGTTTCCCATGGAAACGGCTCCCGGGAGATGGAAAAGCAGCGAGGGAACAGCGGGAGGTTTTCCATCGGGATGAGAGCGGGGGGGGGGTGGAATTCCTGCTTTTCCCAGAGGGGTGTGGGAATTCTGGGATTCCAGGTGAGGAGATGCCTCAGGGATTTTTCCGTGTGATCCAAGGGTTTGGGAAAACAGAGTTGGAGGCCAGGGAGGTGCTCCGAGAGCTGGGAATGTTCCCCTGGATCGGGGAAGGATCCAGGGAATCCTTGGAGCCGCTTCCCGATCCCCAAGGGGCTCCGGGAGAGCTGGAATTTGGGGAAGGGCTGGAGGGGCAGGAGCCAGGGAATGGAATTCCCAGTGGGAAAGGGGATTTTGGGATTTTGGGATCTTGGGCAGGAATTCCCGGCTGGGCTGGAATTCCCAGAGAATCTCTGGGAGTGTCCCAGGGTGGGTTTGGATCACCCCGGGATCGTGGGAAGTGTCCCTGGGATTGAAGGTCCATGGATCCCACCCAAACCATCCCGGGATTCTGGGATCATGGACACTCAGGATCCATCTCGAGGGATTTTTATGGGATTTGGGGATGGAAAAGGGAAGGGAGACCCTTCCTGGAGTCCCGAATTCCCAGTGGAGCCCCTGGATCCTGAAATTCCTTCTCCAGGAGGAATCAGGATGGATCCAATCCCAGGCTGGGATATCTGGGAATGTTCCCCTGGATCGGGGAAGGATCCAGGGAATCCTTGGAGCCTTTTCCAGAGGGAAAGGAGAGCTGGAATTTGGGGAAGGGCTGGAAGGGCAGGAGCCAGGGAATGGAATTCCCAGTGGGAAAGGGCAGCTTGGGATTTTGGGGTCTTGGGCAGGAATTCCCGGCTGGGCTGGAATTCCCAGAGAATCCCTGGGAATGTCCCGGGAAAGTTGGGATCACCCTGGGAGGGCGGGAGGTGCCGGGATCATCCAGCAGCGGGGGAATAAAAAATCCACCAAAAATCAATTTAAAATCCGCAGGATAAAATCAAACCCGCTGGGAAATTTCTCCTTCTCCATCATCTCTCCCATTCCCGCGGGAATTTTCTGTTCCCAGCGGGAATTTCTCTCCTCCTTCCAGCCCACGCCCCCCCAGGTTGGATCCCACTCATCCCACGGATCCCGCGCTGCCGCATCCCGAATTTTTCCTGCCTTGAAGGGATTGGTTCACTCCTAAATCCAGCTGGGAAAAGGAGATTTGAACCCCCGGCGTCTGAAAATGTGGGAAAAAAGGAAAAAAAATTAAAATTGCACCTGTGATCCCGGGTTTTCTTCCTCGTTTTTAGTTGTTTTTTGGGGTTTTTTTGGGTTTTTTGATTTTTTTTTTAACCTTCTCCCATAGCTTTGGTGGGGGGAAATTAGGTGTGATTGACTCAAAATCAGATTTTGCCAAAAAAAAAGAAAGAGAAATCAATCAAAACCTCCCCCAGACATGGAGGGGAAGGTTTTGATTGAAAAATAAGATAGGAACTTGAAAAATAAAATAGAAACTTGAAAAATAAGGTAAAAACTTGAAAAATAAGAGAAATCAATCAAAACCTCCCCCAGACATGGAGGGGAAGGTTTTGGTTGAAAAATAAGATAGAAACTTGAAAAATAAAATAGAAACTTGAAAAATAAGATGTGAAAATAAGATAAATCAATCAAAACCTTCCCTCAGAGCTGGGGGGGGAGGTTTTGATTGAAAGATAAGATAAAACTTGAAAAATAAGGTAAAAACTTGAAAAATAAGATGTGAAAATAAGATAAATCAATCAAAACCTTCCCCCAGACATGGAGGGGAAGGTTTTGATTAAAAGATAAGATAAAACTTGAAAAATAAGGTAAAAACTTGAAAAATAAGATAAATCAGTCAAAACCTCCCACAGACATAGGGGGGAAGGTTTTGATTGCAAAATAAGATTAAAAAAATTGAAAAATGAGATAAATAAGAAGAAAAAGAAGATTGGGAAAATAGGTTCAATCGATCAAAACTTTCCCCCAGAGCTGGGAAGGTTTTGATTGAAAGATAAGATTAAAAATTGAAAAATAAGGTAAAAAACCTGAAAAATAAGATGCAAAAATAAGATAAATCAATCAAAATCTTCCCCCAGAGCTGGGGGAGAGGTTTTGATTGAAAGATAAGATAAAAATGGAAAAATAAGGTAAAAACTTGAAAAATAAGATAAATCAGTCAAAACCTTCCCCCAGAGCTGGGGGAGAGATTTGGATTGGAAAATAAGATTAAAAAATTGAAAAATAAGAGAAATAATAAAAAATAAGATTAAAAAAATAAGATTAAAAATTTGAAAAATAAGAGAAATAATTTAAAAATAAGATTGAAAAAACAAAAGATAAATTGATCAAAAGCTTCCCCCACAGCTGATGGGGGGGGGGGGGCAGAGTTTTGATTGAAAAAAAAGAGAAATAATTGAAAAATAAGGTAAATAATTGAAAAATAAAATTGGGAAAAAAGAGATAAATCAATAAAAACCTCCCCCGGAGCTGGGGGGGATGGGGGGGTGGGAGAGTTTAGATTGAAAAATAAGATTAAAACATTGAAAAATAAGGTAAATAATAAAAAAATAAGATGAAAAAATAAGATTTTAAAAAAATTGAAAAAAATAAGAGAAAATATTAAAAAAATAAGATCAAAAAAATTTAAAAAATACGATTGGGAAAAAATGCAAATAAATCAAAACCTTCCCCCAGAGCTGCACCCCCGGCTGGGACTGAGTCACCCTTTTATTTTTAATACATAAAATTACATATATATATATATATATATATATAATTTTATATAAAATATTTTTTAAATTAACATTTTCCTTTTTTTTTTTTTTTTTTTTTTTTTTTTTTTTTTTTTTTTTTTTTTTTTTTTTTTTTTTTTTTTTTTTTTTTTTTTTTTTTTTTT